CAATCTGCTCCGTCCCATGCTGCTCCTGAGCGACGTCTTGATGTATTTCAAGGCAGAGTTTCCTCGCTCAACAGTAGCACTGGACACTGGCATTACGAGCAAGATACTGAAAATGGTGTGAATATTTGGGTACATGTGCTTGTTCGTAGTTTCCAGTGCATCGTGAAGCGTGGATGGTCGTGTCGCTGTCAGACTCTCGCTCCATTTCCTCTTCCACAGGCGTATTTCTTGGTCAAACGTGTGTTTATCGGATTTACTGGATTGGTGTAGGGTACCGTACAGTCAATCAGCAAAATGACGCTCGACTGGGGTTCTTTAGATATTTAATCTAAATTATATTATCAATATTTTTCTCATTCAAATTATTATTGCCATTTATTAGCGCTATGATTATATGAGAAAGATATAACAAAACAGAAATTTTAGGGCGAAATATTGTTTGGTTAGTAGTTTTAAGTCACAAATTAAGTCTTCTTAGCGTTCCATATCATTAAAATATTTTTTTATAAAAAAAGTGTTTGTGTTGTTTTTGAGCGAGCGAGACAAACGGCTCAGTCCGCACTCACACAATTTCCTATTTTTCTACATGAGATAGTTATCAATAAGTTAAGTTGATATACTTAACTATTAAATATTATTAACGTATAAATTAAAAAAACAATTTAGGGCGAAACAACCTAGGGCCAACGGGATTTAGGGCGAAACAGCCCGTTACTGGCACTCCAATAGACAGTCCAGTTAACTGAGCTATAACCCCGTGATATAGCATCTATCCGTCGACTAGTGACAATAGCATTAGTAAACAAAGGTTAATAAACCACGGTTAGTGACCATTCACAAAGCACATGGTCGAAGGGCCATAACTCTTACATAGATTAATGTAGAACTCTCCTGTACGGAAGTTGGAAATTTTACCTTCCGCAGACGAACAAACAAAAATGATCAGAAATGGATATTGCATAAAAAAACAAATTACCGCCGCAACGATGGTAGGTGTATCGTGTTTTTCGATATATATAAAAACATAAATGACTCTTATTATGGTAAATTATAAAAGTGTTCCCCAAGTCTGTCTTAATATTGTGATTGTACGTGTTCATTCGGACGTGTTTGCAAGCTATTTAGATATCTGTCAAAATATTAAACAGGTTGGGAACATTGAGAGGATGCACCAAAACTTCAACGCTTCCTCTTTAAGCTCTGTGATAAAATCCTCTCAACACAGTATACACGATATAACAGTATCTCTCTTACGTCGCATATCAGAAACATACAAACATTAGATCAGTAGAGCTATTTCTGCGGCAAACATGGGTATATGATAAACAAAAACAAGACATGCAAGTAAACATAGGCCTACATGTACAGAAATATAGATGCAAAATAAAGTACTATACAGTATACTTATATTTGATCAGTTGGTGATTGTATAACAATAAATATACAAGCTAAAGAACTAATAGATTAAATGACATATGTGAAAACTGTGTCACAGGATAGGAGGTTGGGCAAATCCCTTCCCTATGAGACCAAATTAAGCATATAAGATTATTTTAAATTGATTAATCACACACTTAAATGATGAAAATATCACTGGATTTCTACATATTATCAAAGCTTAAGTGGATTGAATTATGAAAAAATAATACAAGCATGTCTTTATACAAAAATTAAGTGAACACATTCTAATAAATACACTCACCTATGTTTAATTCTTAGCGGTAAGCTAAACATTAAACATAGGTGAGTGGATCTATTAGAATGCGTGCACTTATTTTTTTACTGGTCTATGACACCATACCATAAGCTCCACTGGCACTTTGTGTCAGGTGATGGCAGGAAGTGCCAGTGGAGCTTATGGTATGGTGTTTTGTCTGTTATTCTGCAACTTTTTATTTGAAGGACTTCTCCTTCAGAAGTGGAAGACTTAAGGCCATGATATTTGCCCAGTAGGTACCAGGGACAAGGTGCTATAAAGTGTCCGCAAATAAATGACCTTGACCTTCTTTCCAGGTAACGAGTCAAATATGTAAAAACTTTTAAACAACATCTTCTGAATAACCAAGAGGCCTAGAGAAATGATATTTTGCCAGTAGGCACCTTGAACAGAGTGTTTTAAAGGTTCCTCAAATAAATTACCTTGACCAACTTTCAAGGTCAAAGGGGTCAAATATGTAAAAACCTTAAAGCAACCTCTTTTTTAACCAGGAGGCAAAGAAGGATGATATTTGGCCAGTAGGTACCTGGGGTTTAGTGTTACGAAGAATCCTCAAATGGATGACTTTGACCTATTTTGGAGGTCACAGGGGTCAAATGCATTTAAAAATTTGATCGACTTTTTTAATAACTAATACCCAAATGGTGATGAAATTTGGCCAGTAGAATTAATGACATTGACCCACTTTCAAGGTCACAGGCATCAAATATGTTAGATCCTTTAAACAACTCCTTCCTAAAAATGAAGAGTGCCATTAAAGAAATGAACTTAACCTACTTGACCAAATTTAGTATAAAATGTCCTTGGACCAAGAGGACTCTATGTTGCATATCGTTAAATGGAGAGTCTTGCTCTCCAAAGTGCAGCAGGATAGAGCTCAATAGAAGTTACCAGAGCAAAAATCTTAAAACTCCTCCTTCAGTACAGACTAAGTGATCTCAATCATTTAGTCCAAAACATTCCTAAGCCAAGAAGACTCGATATGTGAAAATGTTTGCAAAGTTACTTTTATTGAGAACATTTTCTCATGATTGCTTTAATATCCAGGTGAGCGATACAGACCCTCTGGGCCTCTTGTTACTGTTGTGCTGTGTATGCATGGTTTATCAATATGTAAACAAATTATAAAACTTCTTTTTAAAATTAAGTTTCCTTGAGTCTACATGAAATGTACCAGTATCATTACACACAATTTTGTCTTGAGTAGGACTTTTATCCTTGAACTTGACAGAGAGGTGTATTGGAGTTTTGGTGCATAATTATCTCAAAGAGGATTTCCCCAACCTGTTAAAGTGATTTTAGTATTCACTTGTAAACAAAGTTGAAGTATTAATCTTTGTTTACTCTGACATATGTCACAAAAACATTGATGATTTCTTTTAAAATGAAATAAAATATGACAGACTATGGGAACTTTTAAAATTAATATCCACATGTACAAAAATAAAGGCTTTTGAGTATCTTACTAAAGGTTCATGGAAATAATTGGTCTGCTTTGTCCCACTGCATGCTATATATAGCAGTGATTTATGTGGGGCCCTCTACAGAAATAGGGATTTTCTTTTTACTTGTCTTTAAGGCGACATTGTGGAGACTGACATTGGTCTGCTGCCCATTACAACACTAGAGATCTCTATCGTCTCTTTTCTCACTTTCCATTGCTTCTGTTTGGGGTGCCCTATCGTTTCTTTTCTCACTTTCCTTTGCTATGGTTTGGGGTGCCCTATCGTCTATTTTCTCACTTTTCTATGCCATGTTTGGGGTGCCCTATCATCACTTTTCTCACATGCCTTTGCTTCTGTTTGGGGTGCCCTATCGTCTATTTTCTCACATTCCTTTGCTACTGTTAGCCCTATTGTCAATTTTCTCACATTCCTATGCTACTGTTTGGGGTGCCCTATTGTCTATTTTCTCACATTCCTATGTTACTGTTTGGTGTGCCCTATCGTCACTTTTCTCACATTCCTATGCTACTGTTTGGGGTGCCCTATCGTCTCTTTTCTCACTTTCCTTTGCTATTGTTTGGGGTGCCCTATCATCTTTTTTCTCACTTTCCCATGCTATTGTTTGGGGTGCCCTATCGTCTTTTTTCTCACTTTCCTTTGCTACTGTTGGGGGGGCCCTATCGTCTCTTTTCTCACTTTCCCATGCTATTGTTTGGGGTGCCCTATCGTCTATTTTCTCACATTCCTTTGCTACTGTTTGGGGTGCCCAATCGTCTCTTTTCTCACTTTCCTTTGCTACTGTTGGGGGGGCCCTATCGTCTCTTTTCTCACTTTGCTTTGCTATTGTTTCGGGTGCCCTATCGTCTCTTTTCTCACCTTCCTTTGCTATTGTTTGGGGTGCCCTATCATCTCTTTTCTCACTTTCCTTTGCTACTGTTTGGGGGGCCCTATCGTTTATTTTCTCACTTTCCTTTGCTATTGTTTGGGGGGCCCTATCGTCTCTTTTCTCACTTTCCTTTGCTATTGTTTGGGGTGCCCTATCGTCTCTTTTCTCACTTTCCCATGCTATTGTTTGGGGTGCCCTATCGTCTATTTTCTCACTTTCCCATGTTTGGGGAACACTAGGACACCTGTTTTTGTGTGAACTTAACTGTTACAAGGATGATAAAAACTGGGCCCATACAAATAAGATCAAACCAGCATCAATCTTAATCAGTAAATGTACAAACTAGAATATCCACCACCTGTCAACAAGTCATCAAATTTAACTGGTAACATCCATAGTTACATGTGATAGGGATTAAAAATGAAACAAATGAAAGGGCTGACCCCTTGGGAGGCTTAGAGGTGGGGCCTAAAAGGGGTAATTTGGCCATATTCAAGCAAATTTTCCCTGTTTAACTATGGTATGGAGAATCAACCATAATTGGTTGGAAGCCTTTCAGATGATTGACATCTCTACCTAATAACAACATAAATATACAATTGCTTATAATTATTTAGCATGAATAGACCTACAAAATCCTGCTGGCAGGATTGGCCCTTGGGTTGGATACTGCCCTTAGGGGCTGGGAGTTCAAGCACATTTAAGGAATAATCTTACATTTATGTTAACAATGTTAAGATTGAATAAATATTACCCAAATTAAGTTTGCTTATTTTATACATTAAATTCTGATAAATATACCAAATTTCTAGGAATACAATATTCGCTAAATATCTGCCATACAGGGGTCTCTTGATTTATCTAGGTATTGTGTGAATTTTTCAGTTTTGATTTTTTTCTGTCCTTACAGACCTTAAAAACCAAAAAGACATTGCTGGTCTGATTTGCGGTCATCTTGATCATCATCCATCCTTAAAGTGACTTCAACTGTAAAACACCACTAGAGGATGGAGGGAACTGCTTATCAAAATTCTGGATATTCTCCAACTTTACAGCATTCACAAAATCATGGAAATGCTTCAACAACGACAGTGTCCAAGTCATCCAGTCCATGTACTTCTAACTTAAACATCAATGCTTCAACAAATGCAGGACAAACATCTCCATCAAGCACACAGAACTGTCACTACAGCCACAACGGGAACAGCTCTCCAGCAACAAACCAACCTGGCTTCTTAAATCATCATCTGGTACCACCCACACTCCCCACTGATATTCCAGGTGCAGTCTTGTCTGGTAACAAACCCCATGGGAATGAGACCACTGGATCTGTGTCAGGTATCAGACCCCAAACTACCTCTGTGCTGAGCCTTGGTCAGAATATGGTTCTTGATGAACAGAACATTCCAGCTGATGTGATGTTTGGTCAGCAAAACAATAAAGCCCAGGAACCACTACCAATAGTTGACCCCACTCTCGCCTTTCAAAAGACTTTAAGAGCAGATCCTCAGTTCACAACTTATTTTGAAAGCTTACAGTCCAGTAACAATAATGATGGACAATCTGCAACAAGCAGAAGCACTCTGATTGAAGAAAAGATGTTTCAGATTTTTAAACAGCAAATGGGTTATGAAGTAACAAATGAAAATCAGAGTAAGGTGTTGCTTCCTACAAGCCAAGTTAATTCTGAGGGGAATGGAAGTGAAGTCGCTATGCTTTCTCCAAGTTTACTACAAACAAACTCACAAGTTGGTCCCCCGGGCATTGATGCAGATTCTTATAATGAAGACAAGAGAGACAACATGACCAGCAGCCAAAGAACAGGGGAGTTAACAAATTCATGGGGAGCCACTTTACCTTCAATAGCCATGATGGCAGGGATACGACCTAAAGTTAAAAAAGCACTTGATCACTATGATGAGGAATGTCCGGGAAAGAAAAAGAAGAAGAAAGTAGAAAAATCACAGCATATCAAGCCCGCGGTGCCTGAATATACTGGTATGAATGTGAATGGTTTAGGACTTGTGGCAGCGGCTGCAGCAGTAGCACAACGAACTACAGAAAGCAGTGTTCCTGTACTCCAGTCTGGCTCTGACATGTTAGCCCTCACAAACACTCAAGCTCTGTTCCCTAACACATATCAAGGCTTTCATGAGACCATGCTTGCTGCTAACAATATAAGTGGCCACAGTGGGAAGTTAAGGCAGAACCTTGACGGACCTGTCTCCTGTGACATCTGTGGTATTATGTGCGCAAATAACTTTGGCCTGTCTCTACACAAGAAATCTCACATAAATCAGACATTTAAATGCAGAGAATGTAGTTTCGCTACTGGTACTGTAACACAATTAAGGCTTCATGAAAAGTATGTACACAGCACAGGGAACTCAAGTGCTACTGGGGCTAACTTTCAGCAGAACAATCTTGGGCTCGGCACTAGTTGCAATGATAACACTAACTTTAATCTGCAACAATCTCAGCAAAAATCAAGTCTGTTGGATGCGAGCACAGAGAACAATGAACCAGGAAATTATCCATTTCAGTGTTCAGTATGTGATGGAGCTTTCCGCAGAAAGCAGGATCTGACCCGCCATCTGCAGGTTCATAAGAACATACACAAATGTAATGTCTGTCAGGAGGGATTCTCAACCAAGCAGAAGCTGGCAGCACACACAGCAGATAGTCACCAGACAGGGATGTTCTCCTGTTACCAGTGTCTGGCGCAGTTCACTCATCCTGTTCACCTGCAGCTTCACCTAAATATCTGTAACCAGAGTACAACAACAGCCATACAGAAGAGATGGAAGAACATGGAGCAGACTACAGATGAAATGATGACCGAGGAGAACAAGGACAAACGTAATGTGTGCAATGTATGTGGAAAGGGCTTTAAAATGGTGCACTACCTTAAATCACACATGAGGACACACACTGGAGAAAGACCTTTCTCCTGTCACATCTGTTTCAAATCATTCTCCCAGCGGTCAACACTAAAAGTACATAACCGTATCCATACGGGCGAGAAGCCCTATCAGTGCAGCATGTGTAGCAAGGCTTTCTCAGTTCGACTCTACCTACAGGCACACATACGCACACACACTGGTGAGCGACCCTACAAGTGTAATATCTGTAACCGATGTTTCAGTCAGAGGTCCTCTTTGGTTACACACACAAAGCGACACGATGGATTCTAGCTGTACTAGCTGTATTAGTAAGCAGGTATAGTTCACTGGAATGTTGAACGCACCAAACAACCCATACCTTCTAGATGTTATGTGGACAAATAGAGTGGCATTACATGTCCAGTACATAGTTGTAACATTACTACTATATTCTGTAGTATCTGGATTTTATATTAAGCTGTATCATTAATTCATCACAAAATGTACTTTTTTAGCTCATCGCGGTCAGAAGGACCAAAGTAAGCTTATGCCATACTGGGTCATGTGTTGTTTGTCAATCGTCCGTCTGAATTCTCCCGATTTCCTTTAGAAGATATCGCCTCCTAAACGACTGATCAGGTTTCAAATCAATTTGCTATGATGCATCCTTGGGACCAGGGAACCAAGTGTTGTATAAAGGAAGGAAATGGCAGGGTAATGAGGAATCTAATGCGATATCAGTGGAGTTCAGTGATCAAAAGACTACTTCTCCTACAGCTCTTGATGAATTTAAACCAAAATTTACATGCAACATCATTCATTAAGACATAGGAACCAAGTCTTGAATTAATGAAGGTTGTAACCCCCAGGTAGGTGAGGGAGGGTACAAAGTTGTCAAAATTAGGTAACTTAACCGTTAACATCTGCTTCATGTTTTCTAATTCATAACTAAATACAAGGTGAGCTATATTAAGTAAGGCCCCTGGGTGTCTTGTTTCTGTGACAGAAGAAATCAAAAATAAAATATCAGTTTAGTGATAAATTAATGAAGAAGTTACATATATTTGGAAATCATGAAATCTTGTTCCCGGTTATGTATTAAATCTGAGTGTTGGAGATTAATCTCAAAAGATTTGATAGAGATGATATTCAGTCATCATTTACTGGATATCTGTGCATGTATTCTGACATTATGTAACCAGCTATAATGAGCTCTAATATGTGTATCAGCTATCAGACATAACATTGTTATGTGTATCAGCTATCAGACATAACGTTGTTATGTGTATCAGCTATCAGACATATCATTGCTGTGTGTATCAGCTATCAGACATAACATTGCTGTGGGTATCAGCTATCAGACATAACATTGTTATGTATATCAGCTATCAGACATAACATTGTTATGTGTGCAAGCTATCAGACATAACATTGTTGTGTGTATCAGCTATCAGACATACCATTGTTATGTATACCAGCTATCAGACATAACATTGCTGTGTGTTTCAGCTATCAGACATACCATTGTTATGTATACCAGCTATCAGACATAACATTGCTGTGTGTTTCAGCTATCAGACATACCATTGTTATGTATACCAGCTATCAGACATAACATTGCTGTGTGTATCAGCTATCAGACATACATTGTTATGTGTATCAGCTATCAGACATAACATTGTTGTGTGTATCAGCTATCAGACATAACATTGTTATGTGTACAAGCTATCAGACATAACATTGTTGTGTGTACAAGCTATTAGACATAACATTGTTGTGTGTATCAGCTATCAGACATAACATTTTTATGTGTACCAGCTATCAGACATAACATTGCTGTGTGTATCAGCTATCAGACATACCATTGTTATGTATACCAGCTATCAGACATAACATTGCTGTGTGTATCAGCTATTAGACATAACATTGCTGTGTGTATCAGCTATCAGACATAACATTGTTGTGTGTATCAGCTATCGGACATAACATTGTTATGTGTATCAGCTATCAGACATAACATTGTTGTGTGTATCAGCTATCAGACATGACATTGTTATGTGTACAAGCTATCAGACATAACATTGTTGTGTGTATCAGCTATCAGACATAACATTGTTATGTGTATCGGCTATCAGACATAACATTGCTATGTGTACCAGCTATCAGACATAACATTGTTGTGTGTATCAGCTATCAGACATGACATCTTCATTAGCTTGCCTGATCCCAAGGACCAAGGTGAACTTATGCTGTACCATGGCATCTGTTGTCGGTCAATTAGCCATAATGCTTCAAATGACTCCTCCTCTTCAACTATGAAATGAATTTCCAGAAGATTTTGTTAGAAACATTTTCATGTATTGGGGGTTTACAAATTGATCTGAATTATGCTTTCGTGGTCCTGAACAGAAACTGTTATATTTTTCAGTTGATAAGATATATCTAAATTAGCTACCAGGTACCCTGTCCTCTAATTGACAGACATGTTTTTTACTGATTCTCAATATAGACTACACATTGTTATGTTACATATACATGGATGGACCTTGATGATCAGGGGTTTTAGGGGGAAAATGACCAGTTGATTGATCAGTTATGTACATAAGATGTAGAGATTTATAAATATATATATAACGTTATGATGCTATATATGTGTGAGTGCATGTGTGCATGGAAAGTTGAGAATATATACAAATAGTGTGAGGAGTTTGTTGTTTCCTTGTGTACATTAGAGAAATATTTACATTTGTGTTGTACTGACTCAGTAGGAATTTTCAAACTCAACAGGTGGTAATTATGGAAGCATACTAATGAAGAATGATCACATCAGATTATGTCATTATGATATTTCCTTATTTGAAACTGTTTGGGTCGTTACTTGGCGAGTGTAGACAAGAACCAGTGTTGTCAAGTTCAAACTCTGACAAAAATTGTCAGTTAGTTACCTGAGGGTAATGGTACCATATAAAACACTACCTTGTTCCTATGAAGTAAAGTGTTGCAATTTAATCACAAAAAACACCCAGAAAGACGAAGTAGAATTTGTTATGTTGCTTTGAAAGTACGTTCATGAATTAGTATATGTGTACTGGAATACAATATACAATGGTACTCTGTCCCATGGGACATGCTTGTAAACAAATTGACTGTGTACCCAATAATTGTACTAAATATGCATTTAAATTTTAAAAAATGTATTAAATTGCAAATTGAAGTTTATAGAGAGAGTAGGTTTAACCTATATGGTAAGGTACAGACCTTTATTACACAGGCTCTCAGTGCCATTCAAAACTACTTTTCAAAAACTTCTATGGGGTTGAATAAACTTCTAACTTGTATTTATTACTTGTAATATATAGAATATAGAATGTGCTTATAACAATCCCAAATGTTCATCATGTTAAGAGAACTTCATACCTTGATTGGTTTACAAAGAGAACTGCATACCTTGATTGGGTTACAAAGAGAACTGCATACCTTGATTGGGTTACAAAGAGAACTACATACCTTGATTGGTTTACAAAGAGAACTGCATACCTTGATTGGTTTACAAAGAGAACTGCATACCTTGATTGGTTTACAAAGAGAACTGCATACCTTGATTGGGTTACAAAGAGAACTGCATACCTTTTTTGCTTTAAATCCCAACTAGTCCTTAGCAGCTCAAAGAAATTAGACCAAATTTACTCTAGAGCATCCATGGCCAAAGGGTTCTCAATTTTGTGTAAACGGAGGGTGTGTCCCGCCTGGGGACAGACGGATGGTGCCCGATGGGAAAAAGAGGTAAATCTTCTCCTTCTAAACCAATGGAGGGATTTTCACCAAATTTGTTCTAGAGCCTCTTTATACAAGAGGGACACAGGGGAGGGGCCAAGTAGTGGAAATGGAGGAAAATCTGTCTCTTTCTGTACGAATGAAGGGATTTAAACCAAATGTGTTCAGGATCATCCTTTGGGAAAGAGGACTCAATTTTGTAAAAACCGATGCTGTGGCCCCTCTGTGGGTCCAAATAGGGGAAATAAAGGTAAATCTTTCTCATTCTGTATGATTAGATCAAAGGATTTTCACCACATTTGTTTCAGATCATCTGTAGGCAAAGGGGACTAAACTTTTTGTAAGTGGAGGTGTGGCCCTCAGGAGTGGGGCGGGACCCAATAGGTGAAAATAACTGTTTTCAAAAAATTTCTTCTTCAATATGAATGGAGAGATTTCAACTAAACTAACTTGGTCTAGAGCATCCTTTAGCAATTGGGACTCAGTTTTATGTAAATGGCATGTACCGGGAATGGCCTGGAGTTCCAGAGACAGCCTGAAGATTACCTCCCTTGGCCATAATATGGGAACAGGTGAGATCCCCAGTCCATAACCTTATACAAAACTGCTTGGTGTCTTACCCACCCAAAAGTATTTAACTAATAGTCCTTCTTGCAGTTTGTATTTCTTGTACCTTATTGATTAACTGGTATAGATCTCTGCAGGTTTAAAATTTAAAAAGAAAATACCAGATGAGTTGTGGAGGCACCTGGACCTCTTGTTTTAAGGTCAAAAAGGATATATGCAGTCTATATGTTCCTTCAGCTGAAGTTGGTCAACCGTAATTTGTTTTCTCCTTTCCCCACATTCCAGGAATATTTCTCAGCTTCACTGAGTAATACAATACAAATGTTATTTCTTCTCCTTACATTTACATATTTTCATTTATTACAAACATTAATGCATCAGAAGGATTTTAAGTATGTGAGATTGGCATGGAACATGGAACATGTTATTCCACCCTGCGATAATCTTGTTTTTATTGTGTGTGTTTGTGTGTGTTTTCCTTCTAGATTTCGTTTTGTTAAAGATTTTCTTTAAAGATTTGTTAAAATGGAGATCCTGGATCTTTATTCAGGTCTCAAACTATTAACACACACCTATGTTTGTACCCAAGTTTGTTCTCTCATCATTTACAATTGTTAGTACATGTACTATTGAAAGTGTGAGAAAACAGTATTTATGGCCAGTCTTGCTGGAACCAATTCAGCACAGTAACCAAAACACATGGCGAAAAGGCAGGAAAATCACAGGTACAGATTATGGTGTGATCTGTGGGAGGTTGCATATTGCTGTAGAGAATATACATGTACATGTTCCTGTAGGTTATGTAACATATAAGCATTTCATATATGTGTGACGTACATTGTTGTTAGATTGATTTTGTACTCTCTACAAATGAATCTTCTTAGAAATGTTTGTAAAATGTTAAAGATAGACTTTTTGGTTTATTTTATCATCATATATGTTTTGTATCGGATAGCTAATTCTGTTGGCCAAATGAGGATGTAATCTATAGAAAATCATGTACGGTTGTGACGGTGTTATATGTATTGTGTAGAATATATATACCATTAGGATTGTCTGTACCCTTTAACTGATGCGAGTGAAGATTTTTGCTTCTGCAACATGCAGCTTTTGTGTACTAGGTCAAATTCATGTTTGTAATATATGTCCCTGCAAGGAATGAGACGGGGGCATTGTTAGCGTTCTATTCTCATGTGTTCGCTTATATTTAAAATTCTTCAAAATGTCATTATATATCTCCATGGAAAAAGTTATTGAAGAGAAGGTTTTCAGCTTTTCACTGATTGAGACATAGCTTACCTGGCCGAAGGGTGTACATGATCCGTCAGGGTTAACTTTTTTCATTAAACGACTTCTTAATAACCTAAGTGTAATAACCCTAAGTGTAATAACCTAAGTGTAATAACCTAAGTGTAATAACCTTAGTATAATAACCTAAGTGCTGAGGGTCATGCTATCTGGTAAGTAGCATGCTGGGGTAAAGGGCTACCTATCATGTTTAAATGAATGACATAATGACCAACTGTGGTCAAAAGATTAAAAATTAGAGCAACTTTTTCTCAGTAACTAAAAGGCCTAGGGTAAATTATGATATGTGGTTTGTACCATGCTTGGATGACTGGCTACCAAGTGTGTTCAAATGACCTTGGTGCACTTTCAAGGTCTTTTGGGTAAAATGTACAAAATATTTACACAACTTCCTCTGAATAACCGAAAGGCTGAGGTTTATCATATCTGCAAAGTAGCCTGCTGTTATGAATGGCTACCAAGTTTGAATAACCTTGACCTATGTATACTCTCAAGGTCATGAGGGTCAAATATGTTAAAATATTAAAAAGAACTTCTTCTCTGTAACCAAGAGGTCCAAGGTGATGATATTTTGTCTGTACCATGCTTAGATGTATGACTTCCAAGTTTGTTCAAATGAATGACCTTGAACAACTTTCAAGGTCAGATAGGTTAAATTTGTTAAATCCTTAAAATAAACTCCTTCTGCTGTATACCCAAAATTTGGCCAGTAGCATGCTAAGATGAAGGGCTACCAAGTTTGTCAATTACCACTTTCACTGAGTTCAAATGTGAGAAAATTTTAAATTAATTTCTTCTTGATAACCAAAAAACCCAGGATGATGATTATTGG